AAGTGCAGGTGGCATGATGAAAATGATTGTTTTAAACATTGTAAAATGTCCCAATCCCAATTTCCTCTTGTGTTGTAGCAGTTTTCTTGCTCTGTTGGCCCAAACACTGCACAATGATCCTGTATGATCAGTGAGTCACTTATGTTGCTTTTAATTTGAATGGCTTTGATTTCTAAACAATGAAGAAGAAAGTGAAATAAATGTTACTATTAGTTTTATTAGTTTCTCTTGACTTGCTGAATTGCATTTTTTTGAGTCTGAGGTGGCCATTATTTAGTTTTTGCGGGGATAAAAAGAAGAGTTATTAATGAGCCTCAAGTGTCTTTGGGAGAAACTAATGGTTGATTTGAAGTCTGATTTGATCCATGGTGTGCAGTGTCTGAAACCATGCGAGCAATATAGCAAACAGCTACAACTAGAAACTCACCATTTCAGTTTTGTCCCTTCTTTAAATGTGGATTTCTTTCCCATCACCGGTTCTCATCCCTACTGAAGGCAGTACCTCGTCCAAACGTCTGTGGGTGGGATCATAGTGCTGGTATGGGAGAGAGCATTCAAACATGTGGTGGGAAAAAGTAAAGTGTAAATATCGCAAAATAATTGCTGGAGTACGAGTGATTAATACAAGAAAAAATAAAGAATGAATGAAACCTGACCCGCTGTGTTGTTCTCATTTTAACAGACACATACAAAGCTGTATAGCTCATACAGACTTCTGGGAAATATTCATATTACATGAAAGGAAACTCTTATGTACATTCTTCTGTAGAATAAAAATCTCCCACAGGACAGTGCGTGCCCGTTTGATAGCTTTATGTCAGTTGGTAGAGCGGAGGACTGTAGGTGTTTCTGACAATGATCCTTAGGTCGCTGGTTCAAATCCAGCTCGAAGGAGGGTGTCTCTTTTCTCATTGAGTTACAAATGTGTCTGTACACACATTTTGAAGGAGACCGCAAATTACTGACACGTTACTCCCCTGCTCATACAGCGTTATGTGCCCTCTGGTTTAATAAGTATGTTTGAAATATCAAGATATTCTCTGCATAAATAAAATGTTTAGTCACTGCTGCAGCTGGATCAGTTCTGCATAATGTCCACTTGGTGGTACTGTGGGACTATTCTGGTGTAGATAGCATGGAAGGTTTTTAACTTTAATTTACTTTAACCTTAAATCATAATGTTGTGCCAGCTGTTCTTACTGTAAGTAATGTCACTGGTGTGGAGGACGAAAAATTACTTAAAAATAAATAAATTAGTGCATAGATAAAATAATAAATAAATATATACAGAACTACATGAAAAAAAATCCAATCTTGTAAATTAAATATGTTAAATATTAATATAATAATAATATAAAAATTTAACAGCGACATTTATTTTCTATCATCTGCAATTACCAGCTTTTCTTTATTTATTACTTAATATGTTCAAACATTACGCAAGATTGTTCTGTTCGACAGGCGAAAGCCGCAACGGGACCTGGAATGTGAAGAAAAGAAGCGTTCCCTGACCGGGAATCGAACC